AAGGGATGATGATCTCCCTGAAGACTGGTTTAATGACTTCTGCTTTACAAAGGTGAAACATCATGAAGAGTTTTAGGATGTGCCATGTCCAGAATCCAGGCCTTGGTCCCAAAAAAGCTCTTAACTTTTTCTGTAAGATAATGCTCAAGTAATTCATTGGCATGTTGTGGTCATTCAGTCAGTCTTACCCTTTTTACCTTAGGAATGAATGGCCATAGCTGTTTCAGTGAGAGCAGTCACTATTTTCTAACATCTTTTTCAGAAAGCTTGTAGAGCACACTATTACATGGTTTCACAGTTGCTCTGAGCGAAGAATTGGAGCACTAACCTGAGCCAAGAATCATGTGGCCGGAATAATGTAACCTTTTCTGCATCAGTTAACCTCAAATTGTTACCCCTTCTGTCTTTCCAGTCCTGCTGCGTTGCACTGTTTGTGCCAAACCATTATGTGTTAGCATGCATAAATGGAGGAAAGTGAGGAGTGACAGAAAATAGGGGTGTTGCATTTACTAATGTCGAGAACCAGTTGCAGATACAGTATATCTGTTTGGTTCTAAATACTCTGATTTTCTTGGCAGAGTAAGTGAGGTGGAAGTTTGATAGGGGTTCTGCAGCAGAAAGTTTTTTTTTAATTTTTTATGGTAGGACATAGATAAAGATCCAAGTTTTTGTAATATTGAACAATGCTGGAATTTGGTTTTGCTTTGCGTATAAAATGCTTAGAACTTCTGGAAGTTTTTTAATTATTTAAAACTATATAAGTAACATCAGACAAAAGCTTTGGAAAAAGCAGTTCAGCAGCTTTTGTGCTTTGGACGGTGCTAGACTTAGCTTTAGTATAGGCAAGCTTAATACATAAACATGATGTATTCATGCTTTCTTCATAAAAAAGGAGTAGAAAAAAGCCAATATAAACATTTGTATCCTGAAACTAGTGAAGTTAGCAAAAGCTTTATGAACCAGTTGCCTCTTGAGATCTCTCAGTAGTTCACTTTTTAATAAAGGAGCATTATACTTTGAAATACAGTTTTCTAACTGTTTGAATTACTTGTTTTCATGAAAAGACAGAATTATCACATAGGTATTTTAGGGATTCATATTTCAAACATATAGACAGACACAAAAGGTAAAATTTTGGTATACTGCCTTACTGTGGGAAAGTATGAGCTTTGAATCTGATTAAGTTAGGAATTCTTGAAAATTACAGATCAGATTTATTCAATAACTGTGCTAGTTTTGGCTGGGATAGAGTTAAATTTCTTCATACTAGCATGTATGGGGCTGGGTTTTGGATTTCTGCTGAAAATAGCGTTGGTAAGACACTGATGTTTTAGTTACTGCTGAGCAGTGCTCACACAGCATCAAGACCTTTTCTGTTCCTCTCATCACCCTGCCAGCAAGTAGGCTGGGGATGCACAAAAAGTTAGGACGAGACACACCTGGGACAGCTGACCCCAACTGAGCAAAGGGATGTGCCACACCATATGACATCGTCATGCTCAGCAATAAAACTAGGGGGAACATTGGCAGGGGCCTGCTGCTCGGGAACTGGCTGAGCATCGGTTGGTTGGTGGTGAGCAGTTGTTTTCATTTCCATCGCTTGACTTTCTTGGGTTTTATTTTCCTCTCTCTTTGTTATTTTTTTCATCTCTTTTCCTTACAAATTTTAAATCATTATTATTTCTTTTTAATTATTAAATTGTTTTTATCTCAGCCCATGAGTTTCTTTCTCACTTTTACTCTTCTGATTCTCCCTCCATCCCATGAAGCAGGGCAGGGGAGGGAGTGAGCAAGCAGTGGTGTGATGCTTAGTTGCTGGCCAGGATTAAACCACACAGTGACCTTGAACATGGTGTTTCTGGACTAAAGGTGTGAAGTTTACTGCTGGGGAGACAGTAATTTAGTGGTAATTCGTGAGCTACATGATAAAAAGTGAATTGCTGAGGTGTTTAGCCATTTCTGTTGTATACACACCTCTCAAGTGCATAAAAGGAGACTTTTGGGGCAGAATACTTGCTACTGCATACACATTTCCGTTTCTTAACGGATCATGTACATGATTTATGTATTAGAGCATGTCTTACACACAGAACAATATAGTAAACATGAAATACTTTAGTTTTTGCTGTTACAAAATTACATATAATTTTCTTTTTCAGTGATAGCAATTATTTTTTCCTTTCCCTATTATTAGGAAGTTACATAGTTTGTTCCATCAAACTATTCATCAAACAGGCACTTAGAAGTACAGTATAGCCTTCCCCTTCATTAACCATGCATTAAATAGACCAGCAGAGGTGGAGAAACAGTAACGCATCTATTAACATGTTGCGGTATCTGAAAAAGCTTTGAATCTAATGAAACATCAGCAGACTGCTTTTTCTTGCTGAAAAGCCTTGATCTGATTATAAAAAAGGGTCCAGTGTATATTAACAAAGAGGAAGCAAATGGAGCATTAATGTTACTGTCAAATTCACATGGTTGTGCTGGGAAGCTATTTGCAGCATATGTTGATTTGAGATGAGATTATATCATAATTATTGTTAATCTCTGTGTGACTAAAGGTGGATAAAAAGAAACTTAAATATTTAAAATTCTTATCAATATAAGAAGTTTAAATTATTCATATGCGGAAAGCTGTTGAATTTGTTGTGTTCCTTGAAATCTGGTCAAAATGAAAAATTCATACTGTACTTCTATAAAACTCTTCTTAACACTTTCTTCAAAATGCAATGAAGTGCTGCTTTTTAATCTCACTCTTTTAAAGCTAATTATATGTGTAATTTAAAGTTGTTCTATTATGTGGAAGGGCTTTTTCTACCTTCTCATTGCTAATTAAAAAAATACACTTGCTAGTGTAGATTGTCTGTGGTTTCTTTCTGTTATCTGCAATGTCTGTTCTTACATATCATCATGGCTTACAACATAGCATCCATGCCATACAGGTTTCAATGTGCAAGTGTAACCTCTGCTGTTGACCCTAGTTCATCAGGAAGAGGTGTGGATCACTTGTTTTGCAAAGAGATCTCTGTAGATGCACTAGCCACTTTCTGCATGGATGAAGGTAAATTGCTGAACTGCAAAGATTACTGAAATATATCGTTTAAACAGTAAGATTATATCCTTCAAGTGCTTGTAAAAAGCATCTAGGAAGCTTTTTTCTTTGGCTTCTGTTTACCTAATAGCTATTAGTATTTTTCCATGAAGATAGCAGTAGTCTGACATACTGCAGTCATTCTATTTAAAGACTAGAAGGTGACTGTGTTGAGAAACACCTCAAGTAGTTGTTGCATTCACTTGAGTTGGGATGTCTGTCACGAGATTCTTTTAAAAATCCTACTGACTGCTCAAGAAAATAGTACTACTATGACTACTACTGTTAGCACCCTAGACAATATAATTAGTACTTCTAGGAAAGCCTGAAATTAAAGTTCGAAATATGTTCTTTTTTTTTTTCCTTTATATGTAACCCATCTGGCTGCCATTTTTCACTATTTATTTCATATTTATTTCATTATTTTCATATTACTTCATACGTGTGCTGTAGATTTTCATTACTATTTAAACTTTTAATGGAGAATGGACCTGAGAGTTTTCTGAGGTAGTATCTGTAGTGACTTAGAAATACTGTTTTTTTTTCCTATTCCTTCCCTCTGGCTGGATTATAAAATGAGGGTTATCACCCACAAAAGCATAGAAGCATCATTGTAGCTCTGTGCAGATCTCTGTTTTTGCAGTCATTTCAACATATGGAGGAAAAAAATTGGAGGCAAAGTTATCCTGGACATACTGATCTGCTGAATAATTTAATGATAAAATTTCAGGTGCATTTGTTTCTGATCAGCCTTTTTATAAACCCAACTTGAGGAAAACAAAGAAAATTATTAGCAGTTTGAAGAATCTTCTATATGAGAGTGGACTGCTTAGTGTGACGATGGGCCATAAATGAGTACGCTCTATAGGCTTGCATTATGTGTAGTCATATCTCAAGAAGGTTTTATATTTGGATTTTTATTAATAATTTAGATGACAGAAATCTAAACTCTAGCCCAACTTTGGCTATTGCTTGAATTTCTACTGTGTAAACTTTTACGTCAGCAGGCGTTTTCATGTATTTTATACCTGGCGTTAAAGTAACAAGCCA